AGGGCCGCACAATTTTCAGCCTTTGCCTAGCCTTTGCCTATATTAAACTCAAAGTATGGCCTCATCTCTAATTTGCCCTCTACTTTTCTAGAAAATAACTAGACAGCTGTCATACACAGAGCCACATATCTAATCTCAAACTCTCCCTGATTCACACAGCTCACAGCAACCAGCGACCAGATAATTTACCACATTACTTTTCAAGGCTGCAGTAGCCTATGTCCCCAAATTTTCAATCCTCCAGTTTTACTGCGCTTGTCAATTATGGACAAAATCCCCAACTGTAAATAGTTGTCACATAATTTTCCATCACTCAGAAACCTAGGCTTCAAATCATTTGATAATCTGTAGATGACACTAGTAGAACGTCAGCCTATTTATCTGAAGATAGAGATTATAAACTGGATCAATTTTTTAAAAATAGCCAAATAAATTTTATTATTCATTATTTTTCATGATTCAATTAAACTCTTTATATCATAGAAGCATTAAATGCTCTAAGTTCTGAAAAGAGCATAGTGATTTCCATGATAGATGTGTTGTCTTTCCGAAAAGGTATGTTGCAAAATTTGATGTTTCAGTAGTTTATCCAGTCAACACATTTTTATTGGATATTGGGTCATTCTAACCATAACACCCTGAGAATACAAAGCAATTTTGCCCAAACTATTATTCTTAGTCTATCAAACACTGGAAAATATACATTTTTTTTCTTTGTTCACTTGAGATTATACTGGGAATTTTTGCATATTCCCTTTTTATGTGGCATTTTACCCCCAGATTCCTTTTATTTTCATCTTCACTTTAATGTCAATAGAGGGATGTGACTGTGATAAAACAAATGGACCTCAAAAAGTTTTATATAGTGTTTACCACACCGGAGATCTTTCTTTCTCATGTCACTTTTCCTAGAAAGTAAAAGTCTTCTGATTTTGCAACCCAATGCATGGGAACAAAAAGAAAATAAATGTCAAAATGTGATGAAAATATAATAATGAACAAAAGAGAAATTAGAAAATATCTTCAGGTGAATGAAAATGAAAACACAACATATCAGAACTTATGTGGTGCAGTGAAAGTAGCACTAAGAGGGAAACTTACAGCTGTAAAAGCTTACATTAAAAAAAGAAGAAATATCTGACATCAACAACCTAACTTTACACCTTAACGAACTAGAAAAAGAAGAACAAACTAAACTGATAGTTAGCAGATGGAAGGAAATAATAAATACTAGAGCTGAAATAAATGAGACAGAGAATAGACAAATAATAGAAAAAGAATCAATGAAAATAAGAGTTGATGTTTTGAAAAGATGAACAAAATTGACAAACCCTTAATGATAGTAACTAAAAAAAGAAAGAAAACTCAAATAACAAAAATCAGAAATGAAAGAGGAGACATTACAACTGATACCACAGAAATATAAAGGATCATAAGAGACTACTATGAACAATTATACACCAAAAAATTAAAGCATACAACCTACCAAGACTTAATCATGAAGAAATAAAAATCTGAACAGATTCATAATGAGCAAGGAAATTGCATCAATAATCAAAAACCTCCCAAGAAAGAAAAGCCCAGTACTAAATGGCTTCACTGGAGAATTCTAATGAACATGTAACAAATTAACACCAATCCTTCTCAAACTATTCCAAAAATTGAAGAGGAGAGAACACTTCCAAACTCACTTTATGAAGCAAGCATTACCCTGATATCAAAACCAGACAAAAACACTACAAAAAAAATAAAACTACAGACCAATATCCCTGATAAATATTGAGGCAAAAATCCACAACAAAATACTAGCAAGCCAAATTCAACAGCAGATAAAAAGAATTTCACACCATGACCAAATAGGATTTATTCCTGGAATGCAAAGATGTTTCAACATACAAAAGTCAATCAGGTGCTGGCCCAGTGGCATAGTGGTTAAGTTCGTGCCTCTGCTTTGGCAGCCAGGGTTCACAGGTTCGAATCCCGGGCGTGGACCAAGGCACCACACATCAAGCCATGCTGTGGCAACATCCAATATACAAAATAGAGGAAGAAGGGCACAGATGTTAGTTCAGGGCTAATCTTCCTCAGCAAAAAGAGGAAGATTGGCAATGGACGTTAGCTCGGGACCAATCTTCCTCACACACACACACACACACACACAAAGTCAATCAATGTAATACACCACATTGACAAAAGGAAAGGGACAAAAACATGTAATCATCTCAATTGATGCAGAAAAAGCATTTGACAAATTTCAACACTCTTTTATGACAAAAACACTCAACAGACTAGGACTAGAAGGAAACTGCCTCAACATAATAAAGACTGTTTATGAAAAGCCCACAGCCAACATTATACTCAATGGTGACAGACTGAAATCTTTTCCTGTAAGATCATGAACAAGGCAAGGATGCCACTCTCACCACTTCTATTCAACATGGTACTTGAACTTCTAACCAGAGTAATTAGGCAAGAAAAAGAAATAAAAGGTATCCAAATTGGAAAGGAAGTAAATTTATCTCTGTTCCCAGGTGACATGATCTTACATATAGAAAACTCTAAAGATTCCACAAACACATACACACATGCGCAAATTGTTAGAAATAATAAATGAATTCAGCAAAGTTGCAGGAGACAAAATACACACAAAATCAGTTGTGTTTCTGTACACTAACCATGAGCAATCCAAAAAGGAAATTAACAAAAGAATCCCTTTTACAATAGCATCAAAGGGAAACAAATACCTAGGAATAAACTTAACCAAGGAGGTGAAAAACTTCTATACTGAAAACTGTCAAACATCACTGAAAGAATTAAAGAGACAAATAAATGGAATGATATCCTGTGTTTCTGGATTAGAGTTAATATTGTTAAAATGTTCATATTACGCAAAGCAATATACAGATTCAAAGCAGCTCAAATTCATTTTTTAGGTGGATCTTGACTGTAGTGGCAATTGCCTACCCTCATCCTGCGATTCTTTGGAGACTCCTCACAAAAAGTGACAAATGATCATTTGTTTCTTGTTATCTCCATCTAGTTCCACGCGTCAGTGGGCTCCATTTCAGTTTGATTTCCAAAATGTGGTATGTAATAATTGGAGCACTACTTCATGTCAAAAACCAAGAGGTTGGATTATGAGTCTTTGATCTGCTGTCTTTGCCTGCTAATGTCTTCACTCTTCTATATACACAAACATGGTATACTCTCTCTTCTAGCTGCCATAGAGGTAGCTTTTAATGACCTGCCTTATTATCTCTTAAATACCGCCCCACAAGTCTATAAGATACCTGTGGGCAGAGAAATCATCTTACTCGATCTTGTTTCTTAGGCATCTGGTCCAGTCCCTACCATTTCAGGAGCTGAACTCATATACATGAGCAGAATAATCATGGTAATAATAGTAGAAAGAATACCACCAATATATATTAGATAGCTATGATTTGAGAGGACAATAGATCTTAAGAACCTTTATAAATTCTTCATGGTTCTACAAAAGAAGTTATAATGGAATATTATGTGAGGTGTTTAAAAAAAAAAAACATTTGTTCGCAGGGATATTTTCTTCAAGTTTGCATTTTCGGTATTTAGAATATCAGGCTAAGAATCCCAGGCCTGGTCATGAGTGGAAGATCCACTCTTCACTTTTATTCAGTTATCCTCAGTACCTGCAAGGAGCTACCTGATCGTACTTTTCTTGTCTCCTTCAGATAATAAGGAAACAACTGTGATGTCTCCATACTCGTGGCTGTTTTCCTCATTAGTCTATGCCTAAAGAATCAACTTAAATGCTTCTTTCAAAGGGTTGATGATGCTGTGAACTCTAACAAGTGACATCTCCATCTTCTCCCTAGGTTTAAACTGTGGAATCAGACTTTAAGTCTTTTTTTTTAAATAAAATGTGGGCAGGAAATATATTGGTTATTTTTTTGCCTAAAAAATGCATCAGTACAAAGAGTGCAATGATGAAGAGTGGCCTTCTTCACTGATCTTGTCTCCTCTTCCAGCAGTCACCCAATTGCGGTCTATCTCCCAACTTCTTTGACTTAGGCATCCCATGAGAAGAAATTCAGGCCAACTAATGTGAGCAGAAGGTGATATTGCGCTGTATGGTCCTGGCCCTTGAAAACATCCCATGTGATCCAGCTACTTTTTCTCTTTACAACTGAGTGGAATAGACTCAAATACTACAGATAGATTTGGAGTCATATTCAATATGGTAAAGTCGCAAATAAAGGGTACCCATGTCTCTGAGTCACTGTTTAGAGAAGAGCCAACAGGAAGATTGATCTGTACAGGAATGCCTGCACTGTGGTCTTATATGAAGGAAAGATAAATTTCTATTATGATCAAATTACTGACAGTTTTCATTTATCTCTTACAGGAGCTAGCAGTAACTTAACCGACAAATGTCTTCAACGATATATTCTCCTGAAACATCTTCCCATAAAAAAAAGAACTTCACACTTTGGAAACAGCAAACACCCCCAAGAACTTAAACAGATAAAAAAAATTATGTCATAAAATCATTTATTTAAGAAAGTAGCTGGGAGCCGGCTCTGTGGCCTAGTTGTTTAGTGCAGTGCACTCTGCTTCGGCAGCCCGGATTCGGTTCCTGGGTGCTGACCTGCACCACTCATTGGTGGCCATGCTGTGGCAGCGACCCACATACAAAATAGAGGAAGATTGCCACAGATGTTAGATTAGAGTGACTCTTCCTCAAGCAAAAAGAGGAGATTGGCAATGGATGTTAGCTCAGGGGGAATCCTCCTCAGGAAAAAAAAAAAAAAAGATCATGTTCTTCTCTCTAAACATATTTTCTAAACTTATGATGTACAACATATTTTTTAAACATTCTGATGATTTCAGATATTTTTCAGATGGTGCAGAAAGTTGAGTCCAGATTGCTTTTGGGGGCTTAGCAAACAATAATGTAATTGATTAGGGAGAGTCACGAGTATAACTTTCTTCTTTATTTGCTGACTTTTCTCTGAGGATTGTTACATGAGGGAAAGGCACACTTCTGTTTCTCCTCTAACAACCTTCCAGGCACAGGGGCTGAATTTATTTCCCTTCATATGGGGATTGATTCTCTAGAAGTCCTTCCAGACAACAATTCCCAAATAGGGACAAGCCAGATTTTCTTCTTCCGTCTGCTCCAGCTGTTCCAGGCTGTGATCAAGGATAGAGAGTAGTTGATCGAGGAGAGTGTTGTTGCAAGCAGCACAGCTGTCCTCCGTGTTGAAGTGGTTGATGATCTGCTGGAGCATCACATGGTGGAAACCGGTGCCTTGTGTCCTCTGCATTTGGGTGTTATTCTCTCTTTTCCAAGGAAATTTGAAGTAGGTTCTGTCATTCAGGCGTGACTGAGAGAGGATGCTTTATAGCTGTCTCCACAGCATGAAGAGTTTCCTGCTTTCTAGGCTATGGATCCAAGGCAAGTCCCAGGCAGGGATGGAGCAGAGCATCACTCCTGCCACTAGCAAACGGATCTGAGCCATTGAGAATTCCGGTGATTCACCAGAAAGAAGACCACCAGCTGGGGCGCGGGCCAGCTGACAGGTCACTTTCCTTTGCCGGCTCCCTGGAAAGTGGGATTCTCTAGGCGGCCGCCAGAGGGCGCGCAGGGGAGCCTTCCTGACGCCCCGGTTTCAGATGCGCGGGACTTGGGAGCTTTGGGTTCAGGCGGAGGGGCTGCTCAAGGGAGACCTCGTAGGGGTCTAGGGACCAAGTTTGTGTCGCTTTAAGAGTGAGAAACTCCCCATTCCGCGGCCCTGACTATTGAAGAGGGAGCTTGGCCGCAAGCTCCTCCCTCGCCAGGGACCTGTTTCTCAGGGAGCTAGCACAACCTGGCATTTTCTGCGCTTTCTCCTGAGTTTTGTGCTTTCATTTTGCACAGAAACTTTAGCGAGGCCATTTTTACACAAAATCCCTTTACCAAGTCTCTTTCCCTACTTGCTTTTTTGTTTAAAAAAAAAATCAACTAAAGACATAGTTTACATTAGGGTTCACTATTTTGTACATTCATGGATTTTGACAAATACATAATGACATTTATGCAACATAATAGTATCATACAGAATAGTTTTCTTGCCCTAAAAATTCCCTGTGTTCCACCTATTCATCCCTCCCCCTTCTACTCTTGGCAACCACTGATGTTTTTACTGATTTCATGGTTTTGCCCTTTTCTAGAATGTCATACAGATGGAATCATACAGTATGTAGCCTTTCAGATTGGCATCTTTCACTTGATAGTATTCATTTAAGATTCCTTTATGTCTGTGGATAGCTCATTACTTTTTAGTACAGAATGATATTTCATTGTCTTTATGTATCACAGGTTATTTATCCATTCACCTATGAAAGACATCTTGGTTGTTTCCAAGTTTTGGCAGTTATGAAGGAAGCTGCTATAACCATCCCTGTGCAGGGTTTTGTGTGAACATAAGCTTTCAGCTCATTTGGGTAAATCCCAATGAGCCCAACTGCTAGATAGTGTGGTAAGAGTATGTTGAGTTTTGTCAGAAACTGCCAAACTGTCTTCCAAAGTGGCTGCACCATTTTGCATTCCCACCAACAATGAATGCGAGTCCCTGTTGCTCCACATCCGCACAAGCATTTGCTGTTGTCAGTGTTCTGGATTTTAGCCACTCTAATAGATGTGTAGTGGAATCTCATGGTTGTTTTAATTTACATTTCCTTAGTGATGAATGATGTTGAGCAACTTTTCATATGCTTCTTTGCCATCTCTATATCATCTTTGGTGAAGTGTCTATTTGGATTTTTGCCCACTTTGAATTGGGTTTTTCCTTTTCTTATTGAGTTCTAAGAGTTTTCTGTATATTTTGGATAACAGTCATTTCTGAGATCTGTCCTTTGCAAATATTTTCTCCTAGTCTGTGGCTTGTCTTCTCATTCTCCTGACAGTGTCTTTCACAGAGCAGTAGTTTTTAATTTCAGTGCCGTCCAATTTATCACTTTTTTTTCATGGATCGTGTCTTTGGTGCATCTAAAAAGTCATTGCCAAATCCAAGGTCAACTAGATGTTTTGTGTCTTTTTTTGAAACAAGACTAATGATGAAGACAACTGGCTCTTGATTTCCACTCTGACAACCCCCTACGTACATTCACTGCATTCCTTCTCTTTGAAATAAAGACTGGTTCCTTGAAATACCTCTTCACAGCCAAGAGGAAGTACTGGCCTCAGGAATTTCTTTTACGTTTTTCTCCTGACTAACAGATCTCCAGGTCTCCCAGCTGCTGACCAAGTCCAGTGAGGAATTTCTCCAGGAGGGTCTCCTCCACTTCACAAACAAGCTTCCCAGGATAATTTTCTATAGACAGTGCCCCTAATTTTCATTCTTGCTTTTCCTTTTCAACCTACTCCCATCTGGTTTCTGTCCCATTATTTCTACTATCCCAGATCCTGCTAAGGTCACCAATGACGTCTGTTTTCAGGTCCACTGGGACGGTTCCGTCCACACCTGCCCTGCAAGCACTACTTTGTCTTTTGAACACATTTCTTCCCTTCAGTAGCCTCCCCCCTATTCATCCACCTGTCTCCTTCTAACTGCACTGGCCACTCGGCCTCAGTGCCCATTGCGGACTCTCTTCTGCCCTACCTTTAAATGTGGAGGGTCTGCAGGGCTAGGTATAGGTCCTCTTCTCATTGTCCGCTCTGTAAGTGACCACATCTGTCCCCATGCCCTCCTGCCCAGATACACAATAAGGAATCCCAAATTAATACCTGTACCCATGGCATTTGTTGTTCATTCTAGACCCATATGCCCAGCAGCCAACAAGACTTCTGCAATTACATATCTCCCAGGCACCCTAGAAAGGATATATTTTTTCCTCAAAAAATTATTTGTATCTAAAGCTTCTGATGTGAGAACATTTTCCTTTACTTGTTTTTGTATTCTTTAATATAATTGAAATTTAAAAATTTATAATCTTCTTTTCTCTCTTTCCCTGTAAGACTGAAGGTTTCAACACAGAAACTATTGTGTTAGACTTATTCTCCTGTGTTTTTTGAAGACAATTCCACAATCTCCCACTTTGATACTCAATTCATACATATGACATGAACTGAATGAATGAACAAGTAGATAAATATTATCATCCGTTCTTTGATTTGGTTTAGAAAACCAGGATTTGGATTTAGGGTTTAAGGATAAATAAACTCAAGAAGTTTCTTTGGTAAGTATTTAATAAATAAAACAAAATGCAAATTTAATAAAATGGAAAAGTCAACATGTTTTCTAATTTTTAATACAATGTAAAGGCAAATATCTTTTATGTGAAACTATAAATATAAGATACAAGAATACATAAATAAATATAAATAAATAAACAAACAATAAATAAAAACATCAGAGCAGTCATCTCTTAGGCACTGATGCCCCAGGACATGAATATTTTTAACATATTCTTGATTAATACTACTGACAAAATATTTACTGAATTAAATTCAATAACTTCTATGACTAAAGCAGAAATGAATCTTTTGAAATGAGCAAACACATATGCAAAGGTGACATGGCACATTAGTTAAGGAAAATCATTTCAAGACGACCCCAGGTCTCCATCCTTCATTCTTATCCTTTCTTGCAGGTTTGTCAATGAAGAGAAGGATCTCATGATTTCCACTCTGACAATCTCCCAGGCACAGTCACTGTATTTCTTCTCTTTCAGGTAGAGATGGATTCCCCGGAAGTACCTCTTCACAGCCAGTGTAGGGGCCTCAGTTCCCAGGGCAGATTCTTCCTCTCCCGTCTCCTGCACCAAACAGGTGTCCAGGTCTTCCAGCTGCCGATGGAGTCCAGTGCAGAGGTTGTCCAAGAGGGTCGTATTCCAGGCAGCAGAGGAGCGCTCTGTGTGGAAGAGGTTGAAGATCTGCTGGAGCATCTCGTGGAGGACAGAGATGGCCTGGGCCTTCTGGAACTGGCTGCCATCCACCATCTCCTGGGGGAAACTGAAGTCTTTTCTATCCTTCAGACAGAAGGAAGGGGAGATTCTACTCATTTGGCCCAGAAGCACAAAGTTCTTCCTGCTAAGCAAGACATGGTTCTGAGGCAGGTCACAGCCCAGAGATCCACCAGGGCCATAGCTGAACACCACCAGGGTCATCAGTAGAGAGAGCAGGAGGGCCATGGGGAAAACGAGGGTGCTGCTGGCCCGGCTGAGCTGAGTGTCTCTGAACCTTGGACTGAGGTTCTCTGATGACATTCTGTCTAAGCATGGCCATTAAATAAGGAACACAATAATTTTCGTTTTCTAAACATTTCTCTACACTTTTACTTCCTTTTTTTGTTTTAATTTATGTCTTCTCCATATGGTCTTAATTTTGCAATGGAAGTTTAGTTTTCCCAGTAAACTTCAGATGTGCCAATCCAAATGGATACTTATCAATCAAATGAGAAAGGTCTTTGTCCTGAAGTCAGAAGTGATGTAGGTATGTCAATACACAGACACACACACACAGACTCTTTTTCATAAATAAATATTGTTCTTCTCTGTCTAGGACACATTTGTAGCCCTGCTCTTAGGCTCCATTTTACCCTCCTTTCTTGACATAGGAGGGAGGGATCCCTCGGCCCTAATGGTCTCTGTATTGGTTGAGAGGTTTTCCAGACCACCTTTGACAATTAAGCTCTTTAGAATCAAGGACTGGGCTTCATTTACTGTTTGATTCACAGCAGAGGCTGATAATTATGAGTGAATGAACTTCTCTGGTGTTTCTCTTCCTTCTAGAAATCGTTGATGCAGGTCCATGTGGTTATGCTTCACTGGGTCCACAAGGTCAGAACTAACACGGACCTTGTCTTTTCTTTCTACCATTTTCTTACTGGAGGCCGGAAGTGCTCCTCAGGCTGTGCCAGCACCCCCAGAACTAGTCCTGGTTCTTTTTAGGAGCATATGGCTATGGAGATTCTAATTCCAAGATAATGTATTTTCCCAGCACGAGCTCACTCACAAGGTACATATCACATCTCATACCACCCTCTCCTCTAGAGTAACTGAGTCCTCTTTCTGAACCCTCCTGGACTCACACCCTGAGGGCAAGCTCCCCACATCCTGAGGACTTCAAAATTTCTTTTCTGTGGAGGGGCTTGTTTCTTTGTTAGCAAAATAATTACTCCTCAGGACCCTCGGCCTTGCTCCTAGAGTGTTTGTGTGAAAGACCCTAGTTCTCAGTGGTGATGTCCTGTTCTTCTGACCCAAGTCGCTAGGTATCAAAAGTGTCAACAGCCCTCAGGTGCTGATAGAAAACGTTTTTTTGTGTGTGAGGAAGATCAGCCCTGTGCTAACATTTGCCAATCCTCCCCTTTTTGCTGAGGAAGACTGGCCCTGGGCTAACATCTGTGCCCATCTTCCTCCACTTTATATGGGACGCCGCCACAGCATGGCTTGCCAAGCAGTGCGTCGGTGTGCGCCCAGGATCCGAACAAGCGAACCCCGCGCCGCCGCAGCGGAGTGCACGCACTTAACCACTTGTGCC